CATATCTGCCGGTAGTTGTCCACCTTGCTCGGAGCGCCGCCTTTCGGAATTGGTTTCATCACTGAGCATTTCCAGTCGCTCGACAATGAACCGGTGGATAGCGACCTGTTGAATAGCTCAGTCACCGAACGCGAGATGATGGCCGATAGCGATTTGAGGATCAGCGGGCAGGCTTAGTACCGTCATGACTGGCGAGCAATTTGCGCACACCCTCAGCGCTGCAATCCAGGCTGTCCAGCTCGGTAGGGGCGATATGCGTCGTACACGGTACGGATGCCTGGTCATTTGCAAAAACAGAAGCGGAGTGCACCGCCAATGCAGAAGCACGCTCAGTACTGGAAACTAGTGGTTGTCCGTCCGAGCTCTTCAACACAAGCACACCACCTGTCGGCTTCAGGCGTCGCTTCACGTATGCGAAGATCCCCTTGGGAGGTGTGTTTGCTGCGCTTCCAATTTACTCTTTAAAGCAGCGGCGTTTGCTCCTTTTCGCGCTGTTGCAGGCATTTCGTTGTCTCTTGTACGCTTCGTAATCTTCGGCAGAGCCAGATTGCACGAATTTATTCCATAGCCGGTGTCTCCCTCAAGCCAGTTTGCCATACTCCTTGTCAAACCAGTGTGGTTTGACTGGTTCAGCTTTCCGATATCTGAGGGGCACAAATCGGGCGCACAATGTTTTTGTTCCCTCTTTTATAATAGACCAACAGGCCTCAGTTGATGAATTCTGTGGTGCCGACCAGTCTATCATATTGGCGGCTCGAATGCAGCCATTAAAGCCCGCCTTCCAGTACTTGAACGCTGGCTCCAGCGGAGGACTAAACGGCAGTGGCAGCTCCAAGCTCGCCCTTACCATCGAGTGGTCACTAGCTGCCAGGGGCTTTGAGACTTGAACATCACTCACATGTTGATCGCAGCTGGTCAGCAACAAGTCCAGGCACGATGGAGTCGAGCGCGTGATAATGCGCCTCGGCTGATTGATATGCTGTGTGGCCTCAGTTTCAAACTTCATCTCGACTTCGCAGTGACCGAGGAGAAGCTCGACCTCGGGTCACCGTATTCGATGAACGTTGAAATCGCCCATGAGCAGAAAGTACGGACGACTCATTTGGTTGCGCACATGGGATAACCAGTTTAAGCTGTGGCTCAGTAGACTGCGACACACAACACCCACGGGGTTTTCACCAGGTCTCAGATAAATCGAACACCATAACTGCTCACACAGACCATCACCGCTTCTGTAGATGCTCACGAGTCTCCCGCACAAGGAAGACCCTATGTATAGCAGCACTTCACCGCGGTCATTTGATAGCCTATCACAGCGGAAGCAGGAACACTCACTGCTTTCGATTTCTTGGACGGTTGTTTCTGAATTTAACCAAGTTTCAGCTAGACCCAATACGTCTGGTTTCCGAGCGGCAACAAAGTGGTAAAAGTCGTAACGTTTGTTCATTAGACTCTAAACATTCGTAAATGCTACACCCTGGCCGCGGTAGAAACCGTCGGGCGTGCGTGAAGCATTAGCGACCTGTTCATCCGGATTCAGGGAGGAATCCGGGTAACTGTTCGAAAATTTACAGTGCGGTGATTTGTTTCCCCGCCTTCAGTGCGCCGCTTTAGTTCAATCACGGCGGACTTGAGATTTTCTCTGTCTGCTGGATCCATGTCTGCGCGCACATCAATCTCCAAACCCTTAAATCTACTAAAGCGCGATACTACCATCTTCGTCAGCAAAAGTGACCCTCATGGGTCGAACTTTTCCCTCAGACAGGTACTTTGCATCACTTTCAGCCCGTCTTCACTGATGTCGAGCAGTTTATCAACCAGACTCTGCAGAAACTCGACGTCGTGTTCATAGCGAACCTGAGGGCTCGAATCTGACGATTCATGTGCGTGGAAGACCATCAAGTTGCGACGCCTCAGATCGCTAGACGTCGTTTTCGGTTTCTTTGGCGTTTGCATTTGCCAGAGTTCATCACTACCTGGCTTGTTACACATTCGAGTTGCAGTGTCCGTCGAGGGAGTAGAGGGTGATAAAGATGGGCTACTCGGCAATCTAGGAATTCGTTCAACAGAGCTGGTGGTAGGCGTGCAAGGTGCTTGTATCTGTGCCTTTTACGCAGAACTTACAGAGCAGCGGACCGGTAAACGGTCCGTTGACTAGGTTTCCCGGGGGGGTTGGGTTGCACTGGCACTCCTTTCATGTAATCTTGACAAAACCGTGCTGAATCTCGCGGATAACGCGAAACTTGTCCACAGGAAGACCAATACACGAAATGTAAAAGTTTACCTGGCAGACACCACATGAAACAGCGTTTGCACGATGACCAACGATCTTAGAGCGAATTCCACAGAGAGACTGCTTCACCATTTTGGAAACTGGTGACCCGATGACCTCTCCATTAAGTTATGCTATTGACTGACAATATGAAATCTAGGTTATTCTTCATAATGCGTTTCTCAGTTACACTTCTTAGGGAAGCCAGGTTCATCCATGTAAATCGGTGTAATTGATAGACCAATTTACGTATGTCGATGCTGTACTCCGTAGCAACCTACAGCTCTCTAGTTACCGTTGAGTCCTAGTCTTTCAAAATTTGGTCTGTCGCCAATTCGATATATTATGCTGCCCCTTTCATTTATCGTTTGTTATAGATGCTTAGTCGGGATTTCATCTACTTGATATGATTTCGTTTTTCCTTCTTTTTCTTCAACGTCTATAGGCAGTCCCACTTTCCCAAAGTAATAAGACCGCTCTGGACCACTTTGATCGCTTCTACTCTCATGCTTACGGCCCCTCATCTTGGTCTGTCATGCGTGTCGCACTGCTTGCTCCACCCTTCAAGGTTGCAGTGCTAAATCGTTATTGTCCAAAATTCGATGTGGTCGCTGCATCTGGTATCGGTGCATTCCATTTGGATCTTATTGATATATTACAAAAATGTCAACATGTACCCTATACAACTCATGAACTTTCGGCTTCCTCAAACCACCGGATCCCGACGGAAGACTGCGTAGGCTTGGAAAAAGATCTACCTGATCAGGTAAGCAATGTTCTCGGACGCATTTTACGTTGCACCTTTTCCGTATGTCTCTCAACTGATAGTGAATGTCTAAATTGAAGTGCTACTTCTACGACAGAATCATAGCTATTTAGGCTTACACACCTAGACGAATATCGTCTCACTCGGCCGGTGGCCGAGTGGTCTGCGCGCCTGGTTTGCAAACATAAGTTCACCGGTTCTAATCCGCTTAGTGGTGTGCGTCGTCGCGGTATACTCAACCCACGCGCGCTCACAAACCCACACTAGCTCTAACTGGTGAAGTAAAATGTCTTAACTGGGTAACGTCTCCCCACATACATCGTTGAGGCATACTACTTTAAGCCTGCAATTACAATCTCACCTGCACTTAGGAAAGCAAACAGAATCGAAGACGCTTTGACTCGATTACCTTTGAGTATCTACCAGATTAGATAGTGAAACTTGTGTAGTTAGTTCATTTACTACTGTATATTAATGAAAACCAGCGATAAACACCAACCTCTCTCGAGAAACAGGGAGAGATCTACTCCATTCTAAAGTTAAACTTCTGATTTTCGAAAGATAGCCCAATACATGTGGTCACCGTCTTTCTCACTCTACTCGACACGCGGAGCCCAGTCTCGATGACAGCTGTCTACTGTGAGAATCCAGAACAATTATGCCTCAGTTGCGACACTGTACCTAGGAAGATGAGCCGGGCTATATCATGCTCAACCGTCAATCATACAGTTCCGCGGCTGTCACCTATGGCGAAGTGGCACTAACTGCTGGCATCCGGAAGTCATGGGGGCGGAACCTGACAGGGGTCCGCTGGAAGACGCACCACTGACGAGACCCAGAAGGTCGAAATACCGGTGTCTGGTGTTTTTCCAGACTTGCTAAAGCCTGCCGACTGAGTGGACCGTGAGGTACTAGTTCTAATTATGCAACTTTTACCCCGAAACTGCCAGAATGATGGGCAAACATTGACAGTGGCATAAAAAATTAATCTGTGGGAAACAAATTGCTCCACTTATTTCCTCTCGGTAGCAAATTCAACGAGAAAATCGGTAATGGGAATCTGTGCTACTTGGCAAAGTGGTATAGGTCCTGCTCTTGTGCCCAATATTGTTTGCAGAACTATCCCCTTTATACGATTGGAAAAGAAGAAATTCTTTTTTCCTTACCTTTAACTTGGGGAGCTTCCCCTAAGTGGGGCTACTGTGGACATTTTTTGCACCTATTGGCCAATCGAGTTTTATGGATAAAACCTCTTCAGACTTAGGTGGCTCCGGCCTACAAACTCTCCTGGCTCTGTAGAACAGGCGCTTCCAACTCAACCAAGCGGTAGTCCGCGTCGTTTCTCCGTTCCAGTGCCCAAGTAACACTGCGAAATACAAGGGAGGGTTTAGGATTCCGTAACATTGTTCATTACCGATTGGATAACTGGAGAAACGCAGCGCAGCGAGATCACGTTTGGTCGATGGGGTTACTACAGCGGAGTAGTCCTCGATGTGATAAGTGCAAAGTAACTGATAAAACATCTCATCTCAAACACGCACTAACAGCTTGGGGTGAAACAACCAATATGTTCGAAATTTTGGACGACACTTGGAACCGATTGAGAAGTTGTGAGTTAAGAGAGGTTTAGAAGCAATCGATTATCTCCCAACCTCTTTGAACTCGTTCACTGTGCTGCTACATGTGCTGTAATGGTTTCCGCTGACCATACGAATGACCTGCTGGTGTTTCGCAATCTAGGGCGGCTGAACTCCCAAATCAGAAGACAAAGGCCTCCCGCAACAAACTGTGTTGAACACCCGGCAAGCAGTATACACAAACAAATAATGGGGTCAAATAAGTAGTTCCTAGGTGCATGACATAGCTGGAATTTCCTGGATTTTAGCAGCTACTAGATGTCTGATGATGCACTTGTTGATTGCCAAAATAATGCACTCATTGATCGGATTCAAGGTGAAATGTCGTCATTGGCTACCCACTAAGCTTCAGGCCACTTCTGGGTCAAACTGCTCCGGGCTGCTAGCAAGAAGTGCCGGCTTAAAAGGCTGCTATGAACAGGCCTCTTTGATGTGTACTGTACAGATGTGTGGGTCTTCCTCTGTTCGCTCAGTGTAAGGCGCACCCACACCTAAACAATTCAACACCTATTGGTTGGTTATGGAAGTCACGTGGAGCTAGTATAGTTGATAACTTCGGGCACTGAGGTCACACAGAAGGGCTACGTTCTCACAAAGATGAGGCGATTGGAATCATAAGAAGGGAACATCGTGTTCACAAAGTAAGAGAACCACGATTATTTTACACCGACGTTGTGGCGTGTCCCCACTGGCGCCACAGCCATTGGAAGTGGCCAAACGAACTTTGGGAGGAAGCACATGGCCCACTAAATGGAAAGAGCTTTCTTCTTCGTGCTCGACACTGCATAAAATGGGTTGAAGTATTTCCCTTCACGTGCGCCACTTCAGGGACGATGACCATATTGTGCATGCTGACTAGTATTAGTGCACTCGTTGTAACAATCATGCCGGACAACGGATCCCCATTCACCAGCCAAGAAATTCATGTTCCTCTAATGCAACGGTATTTGTCACTTGGAATCAACCTCTTTCCACCCAGGTTGGGTTGGCAGAAAGCACAGTTCAGGCAGTCAAGACTGGGTTCCAGAAACACTCACTTGCTCCATTTGAAGGAGTATAGACAAATTTCTGTTTGTTTACCAGCTCACGCCGAATGAAACGACTGGGAAGGACCAAAGAGTGGATGCGACTCAACTTTCTCTAGCAAAGCCTTCCACTGTGTTCTGACTGTCCTGACGTTCGTTGGCCTGTCGATCGTTATCTGGCAAGCACTCTCCCTATAAAAAGCTACATATATCCCTTTAACAACACTGCGACGTGGTAGATGTGACTCGCCACTAATCAAAGTCACCACCCCTTAGTGCACTTTGCTGGAGCATTGTATCCAGCAACGCGAACCTGAAGTTGTGAGGAAGATCGGACCCCTGTTTGTCAACCGACAAAACGAAAAACGATTGAACTGAGCAATCAGTCACCAGCTCTCAGTGGGTGCGATTCCTTGAATCCACCCCACTGCCTTGCGCATAGGCTATTTAGCAAAAGGCTCGGCGTGGTGTCCCCAAAGTCGACACCCTACTTCGGTTTGGGTAACCGGGTTGTATCATGCCCTCTGACGAAACCATGCATTTCTCTGTTGTGTTCTGTTTTCTTTTTATGGCTTGTACGTTCCTTTACTTTACATGCTTTTTGGTGGCCCTTTGTCTGTTCGTAGACTGATGATATATATATATATATATATATATATATATATATATATATGGTTGGCGGCATCCAGTTTCGGATTTGCCTGTCACTATGGCCAGCCTCAGAAACCCTGTGCCTACAGAGGGATCATGGGTTATTTGCACTTCACCATCCACAGCTGTAATCGCACCCCCATATCCAGTGTAAACCCGAAGGATTATGACCGGGAGGCATGTGTATGGGAACCACGTTTCATCATCGCAGCCGCTCCACACTCCTTCACAGGCAAACACAAACACGCTGTATTTGGGAGTCAAGCACACAAGGCGGTGACTGGACCGTAATCCGCTCCACACTGATTGCATGGAACCGCTCTTCGAGCCTGGCACGACCACAAGGTTCGTGCACTCCGTCCCCTCCAGCAACGACCAACTGTCTCCTGGAGCCAGTATGGACGAGGTAGTGGGTAATAGACAGGTAGGCACCTTGTCAACATGCACATCAAGCGCAGCCACACCGGGGATATCAAGCAACAGCCAATCGCTTGAAATAACATTATCAAATAAATTATCTGTTAAAGCATACGGCTATGCCGACATAACTCTTCGCTAAATTAGCATATGAAGTAAGTTGGTTAGCAATGAATCTGCGATAAGTACAAAATGTTCAGAAGTTCAATTGTTCAACCCGAGCTACCAGTCTTCTGAAACATGTTCAGAAGTTATTCAAAAATTTCAGAATGTTAACGAATTTAATCACAATTAGCGTAATCTACGTGTGCAAGTTAATAGACTATTCAGGTAGGCAGAACAAACCAACTAAAGTGGAATGAAATTTATCCAGCTTAAGAAGACATAGTTTAGGTGTAAGTATATATATATATATATATATATATATATATATATATATATATATATATATATATATACGCCACACTACCTAGGGTGTTGAAACTAGAGGGAGGAAAACTGTGGTTTACCTGACACCGACGCTGATCGCTCGATCCATTCTGCTAATTGGCTGTTCTCACGCACATGCTTAAATGTCTGTCTCCCACAACCCACTAGTTGGTTCATCCTTAGCCAATCGATTGACGCATTATACCAGTCATTGATTGGAAAAAGTTTGCGTACTGCTGAAACAGTTTTCTTTTGTTTTTGGTAAATTCGGCTTCGAACCAGCTACTGCGTTTTACTCTGATCGTATTTTACACGTTTTAGATTGCAGCGCGATCATCATTTAAACTACATGCAGATGAGGCTTGAGAATAGCCTTCAGAGATAGGGTTTTAGCTGCAACTGTTTTATTACTTAGCCTGATAACAGTTCGTTCGCTACTATGACACTCAGCACGTTAAACAACCCACCTCCCTCATCTGGTCATTAATTTAGTATCCGAGGTTGCAGTCTATCTGGAGCATCTCGTTACTAATCTCCACTTTGAAGACAGTTTCATTTTCTGGCACTAGGTCCACATTGGTTACGCCGTTCATTCACTACTCATTTTGGTTGGGGCTCATTCCAGCTCTGTCATCCCGTCTCTACCGTGGTGACTGACCATTAAACGCTTTTTCTAGCCTCCAGGTAAGTTATATTCTCATCTGACAAGCTTTTCTGATTTTTCCCCGAAGCTCGATCTGTCCCGTCAGTATTTGACCCGTGCCAGTGGTCCTGTGAGTGAGCTGGCAAGTTTATCGGAATTTGTCCCGGTCACCGAGCTGGTCAGCGAAAGCGAAGTTTTCACTCGTGAATGTGATGATGACGTCACCTTCTCATCTGCAATTGGGAACACACCTCACCTATCCAACTGTGGAACCTCGTTCGACGCGGTCGAAGAGGACTGGAATTTACCCAAGTCTCTTCGAGTCAAGTGCCCTAGAAAAGGCAGGGTTGCAGACTTTATCAGACCACAAGCTGTGGATGGACACTTCGGCAAGTGAGATATTTTAAGCGCTTACATATTGTTTGTTGGACTCAATCAATCTGACGCTTAGTTGGTGTTGGTCGTCTCTGTTACTCCGGTTCGAATCCGCGTAGGGACGGGCGTCCTCGTGGTATACTCAGCTCAGATGCGACTGGTGGTGATCGCGTGGCATCGAAGTGTCGTTCCGACTTACAGCTGACACATCATCACTGTTCCTCTGAATTTTACTCTTCCTTTATACTTTAATACTAGTACGACTACTAATAATAATACATTTGTAGGATACAATGTGACACAGACAGAAGCGGCGATTTTCAGGCTCACGTTTCTTAAATGCGTCATCATGTTATTCACCATCACGACTTCCATTCGTGCTGTCTACAGTGTTTGCGGCAAATGATAGGCACTGGGGTGTCTGCACGGTGATTAACTGTAAGAAATTCTCCAGATCGAAAGTCGTCTGTACCCTGCCATCCCTCGTGTTTGACGCAAGCTCGTATTCTCTGTGTGTGTGAGTGCGCGGGTGCGTATACAACTTTAACGCCCACCTCGTGTTCTACTTTGGGATTCTGATACGAGCACCTATTGATATCGACCGTTTTCATTTTGTGAACCTTCCCCTATTCACACATTCGCTCTGCGACGCCTGAAGCGAAATCATGCGCGTTGTCTGTGTGTAAGTTTTCGTGCGCAATTTTCTCCACTTCTCCGTGTCCCGTGCATGTGCGTGACCACAAAATGACCTCGACCGCCCTACTCCACCATTCGCCAGACGGCCTTTGGTACTTCATCCCATTCGCCAAACGACCACTCATTGCACCGGAGTGTCGCATTCCAGACCACATTTCACTGGGCATTTGTCCACACATGGTTTCGGCTATGCTCATATGTACTTCTGATGGTTTACATGGTTGGCGGCATCCGGTTTCGGATGTTCCTGTCACTGTGGCCAGCCACAGGACGCCTGCGCCTACAGTGGGACCATGGGTGCCTTGCGCTGCACCACTCACAGCTAAAACCACACACCCCATACCCAGTGTAAACCCGAAGGATTAAGACCGGGAGGCCTGCGGATGGACACCACGTCCCATCAACGGAGCCGGCTCACACTCCTTCACAGGCAAACACAAGCACGCGGTATTTGGGGAATCAATCGCATACAAGGCGGTGGCTGGACCGTGGTCCGCTCCACACTGAGTGCATGGAACCACTCTTCGAGCCTAGTACGACCACAAGGACCGTGCACCCCGTCCCCTCCAGCAACGACCAACTGTCTCCTGGAGCCAGATGGACGAGGTAGTGGGTAATAAACAGGTAGGCACCTTGTCAAGATGCACATCAAGCGCAGCCATACCTGGGATGTCAAGCAACAGTCAATCACTCAAAATGCCGATATCGAATAAAGTAAACGCATATGACGACATAAATACTCGCTAAATGAGCATATAGAAGAAATTGGTTAAAGGTGAATACGCGATAAGTACAAAATGTCCGAGTTATTTAAAATATACCACGCGATAAAATTACGCAATTTTACCACAATTTGCATGAGCGACGTGTGCAAGTTGGGAGAAGATTATCAAGTACGCAGCACAAACCAAATAAAATGTAATGAATTTTATCCACATTAAAAGACCTAGTTTAAGGGTAAGTTGGTTTAGCCCAACTGCGGTGAAGAAGCATCATGAATGCTACATCAGACTCAGCATGGGGCACACATACATACATGGTTGGCGGCATCCGGTTGAGCTTTTCTCTGATACAATTGTTGCCAACCTAAAAGCACTCACAGTTGAGGTTCGTTGCATTATGTAATTAGTGTTATGAAATTAGCACCGTAAGCTTGGATCCACTTTAAGTCTTGAACTATTCTGGATTGTTTCGTACGCGTGGTTCCACAGCGTTTTAGTCGTTCAGTGCCTGCGTTCAGTTGTCGTGAATTACACTGGATCTTAACATGTTACGACGGTTTACGTGCCTCTTCGACCCCCTGAGAAAGATTGTGTAGCACCTATGAGGAATTGCGAGCTACTCTGATCGAGGAATGTTTAGAGGTTAACTCAAACACGATCTTCTGAAAATCGAGAAGCCGGGATAACGCTCATTAAGATGAAATTAGCCCGCCTTGTTGATAAAGTTTGGAAGTAATGACTGAAGGAGGCAGCTTATCGTCCTCTTATGTTTAACCACACTGCCATTATCCCAACCCTCATGCGACCATCATTACCACGTTTAGCTTCAGCTTCATCCCAGGTCAACTGCGTTGCATTTCCAGAACGGTCGGCTTATCTTCTGCTTATATCACGGTGGATGGATGATAACGGACTACTATTTATACATCACTACCACTTTTTCCTCTTTAGCGGCTTTTATCCTAGTTACTAACCTCTCTTCGGTAATCAACAACATGAAACTCGACAGCTACAGATTCACTGATTTTTCACCACATGAATCGATGCCACCACGGCACCCAACAGTCTCCCGGGATCCAATACTGTTTATCGAGCCAGGCCGATCAGTTTCCTTGTTTGTGCTCAAGTTTCACACCATGAAACCAAATAGAACATAGCCGGATAGCACCTCTGGGTATTGAAGTGTATAGCTTAGAATTCCAACCGTTGAGGGGTTATTGAACTAACAGCGGTCAACCCGTCCATAAATAGTGAGGCGCCAAACTTGGATGTGTACCACCAATGGTCCGAAATTCAGCCTTCAATTTTTGATTGGGTTACCATGAACCCCCACATTGTGCGCAGCCCGACTGACAACGTCGGCAAAGTGTGGCGCACCGAACACAGCCGATCGCTGTTTGGTCGTGATTGCATATCATGGGAACACGACTCGTAGCAAATCGTCCAATGTATGTACTAAGGATTTCTGTAATGTTTCATTTGCTGCTTCCTAACCCCAAAGATAAACGCAACTGCTGCATTATTTTTGATGGCGCACCAAACACGGTCGACACATTAGCTGAGGTGTTTTTCCACCTGGAGCTAGCGTGTATATTGAATGAATGGAAAGCGGTCGGTTAGCTTGATTCCTCGTACATTACGCCGGAATAAAAGTGCGGGTCAATTTGCGTGCATATTCGCCACAGGTCGTACCGGGGCTACATCGTCTTGATTTTGCATGCCATTTTCTCCATATATGCATGCTTACTGTCCGGAGCACTTCGCTTCAGTTAAACGAGCCTAAAGCGGTCGACGAAATGCAGTGGATCCAGTTGCCGCGACCGGCGTCGCCAGAATAAAACTAGCTGAGAACAGCGGAGAAAAATGAAACTGAATACAAGTATAATGCGAAGAAAGTAGCCTTGAGAGAGAAGTGCGTTAAACTAAACGTCGTCGAGTCGAAATTAACAGTCGGTTGCGAGAAAACACCACTGACTGCACCGTGTCCGACAGAGTCGCTAGTCATTGGCGTGGACCACCCGCTGCCCCATCCAGAAAGACAGCATTTACCAACCAGACCATATCTCTCAGACAATTTCTTCATGCCTTTGTGCGATGTCGTGGACTGGCTACTTCGCAATTACGGCGTGTAATCCACACCGAGGAAGCCGATCAGTGGACACACCGAGAACATGGCCTAGCCAACGCAAGCGATTAAGATGCAGCAAACACTCGAGAGAGGCACCAGATGGATTATTGTCAGAAACGAACTGTCGGACCTCAGCATTGCTCACCCGGTGTTCCCACCAGATATGAGCAATACTTTGCAAGCACCGGTGGTCAATCACGGCTAAGCGTTTAATGTCTTCGCCGCGAATTGACTAGGTCTCTGATCTATACAGTAAGACCGGCCTTACCGCAGAGTTATACACCCTACATTTCACTGACAGCCTGGTATCCCACCGTCTCCATTGATGGTTGAGCCTTTCGAAAGTCACACAGACCTTGCTCACATCCAAAGTAACTTCTTCAGTGATGCGACCACCAGAGGTGACACAGCTACCAAGGTAAGTGAACCGATCCACCACTTTCACTGGCTGTTGGTGATGTCGGTGATGTGTCGGTCCAATCCTGCAGCAGTATTTTGCATTTTGAAGGTGCAAATTACATGCCGAAGCGTGCAGCGCCACGCGCCAGTCTATCCAGTAGTGTTTCCATAGCCACCACGTCAGACCTAAGGGGAGCTATGTCCTCCGCTCGCATACTCCAGGTTTGTCAGTCGGTCACTTGACTTTCACTCCCGAAGAGTCTGAAAGAATATAGTCATTCGTGATCATCCCGATCACAATGTTGAAGGGGAAAGGGATTTAAGACAACCATGGAGAACCCCACTTGTTGCGCAGAAATCAAGGGACAGCATCCCGTAGAAACAAAACCAGGACTTGGGATTTACGGTGAAGACAACACATAGTGGCAAGGAGTTTAGCTGACACGCTTTTCATGAATAGGCACTGCAACAAGCTGGCGTGACTACCTTAATCGACGGTGTCTTTCATGTCTGGAAAACCAATGTAGTCGGTCGATTGTAGATGTATTTCCGCTATAACACTTGTCGAAGTGTGCAAATGTGGCCGCTACAACGACGACCTGAAGGGAAGCCAGCTTGGCTTTCAGTGATCCGGCTCTTAGGAAATTCAGTTAGTCGACGAAGAATGATATCCGTGAAATCTTTGGAGGCAATGGAATGAAGGCGTCGATGCCACGATGATATTCGCACATGTACGCCGACCAGTTTTGAGAATGGCACAAAAGTTGACAGTCCTCAGTCTGAAATTACGTCTTTAGTGCAACAAATCGTGTTAAGTAGAGCAGGAAATCCAGTCAACAAGTATTTAACTCCATCATTCAGAAAAGATGGTCGATTGTCGTCGGGTCTTGGTGGTGTGCTCATTTCGAATCTCTTTCAAAGTGGGTGGTGTGACATCAACATCACACTTTGGTTCAGTTGATTCAGCAATCGGTAGTGTTGCATCAGGCATGCTGAGCCTCACTTCGAGACGTTCCGCACAACTAGCTATTTCTCGGTTGTTGTCTCATTAGTTGTCGGTTTTTTCGAACCCGTGTTCTGGATGAGCTGGAACAACACCTGGCTCTTCCCAATATCATTGGCTGCTGCCATCTCACGAGCTCTTGCAACCCACCAACGACCCCAGTCAATTCGTAGACTCCAAGGCGTTACGAACACGTTGAAACTCTCTGCCCATTGGAATCTATTTCCGTGCTTCGGTCGAACTGATAGATCCACAGTTAGGACGCCTCAGTTTGGGCATACATCAGACAGCAGAGGCATTATTCATAGCGCAGTTGCGACGTGCCCAGTCAGCGTTCGACCCACCAAGTATTATTGCTAATTGGTGGGCCAGTTCGTTATGAGATTGTTGAACTGCAGACTGCGAGTTCAAGTAAGACGATTCTAGGTTAGGTGCTTCTTCGAAGCTGGAAGAGTAAGCGCCAGGTGTGGGCGCGCTAGGACATGATCGGAATCTAGGCACATGCTCCAAACTGATCGACAGTCTTTAACTGATGTGAGACACCCATGGTCTGTTTTTATCCAGATCACTGACGAATTTGGTGGGCGCCAGGTTATGTGATGTGAACGTTTCCGCTGGAAGACAGTGCTACTAATCTTGTAGTGTTCGGAGTCCTGTGGACTATGAAGTCGGGCAATCGTGTCATCAGCAACAAATACCTCGGTAACGAAATTAGGTGTTGCGCACCCGAAAACACCGCACTTCACTACGCGTTTCGCCTTTGTTTGACCTCATCACATAGCGATAGCAGGCACCGAACCCGGGACCGTTGGAGTGTTAGTTGCGACCTTCACCCCTTTAGCCACAGGATCAAGACGGGATAACATTTGGCACAACGATGAATGACTGATTGGAATTTCATTTGAGGTACTCATTGTGTGACTGGGTTGCAGCGCGCAATCTCAGTTTGGACCGTGGTAACTCAGTATTCATCATACGGACAGTACGGACACCATAAGTTCCTCTAGCCATTGACTCTGTATTGCTAGAGATGCAAAGAGTATACGTATTGTTCGCGGATTCTGTACCAGGGAGCAGAAAATTTGTCATGACGCTGTTATCTTATGTGCGTGTTTCGGAGACAGCGCACACCAATAACAAGAGAGTGAAGAGGGAGAGTCAGTGCTGCCGGTTGGCCGATCCAACCCTATGTGCGGATGTGAAATACAATTTTTGATGTGATTGACGAGTTGCATACCTCTGTACAGCAGCTGCGAGGTCAGCGACAGTCTCTTGCTCGATAGCTGACAAGCGATGGACCCGAATAGATTACATTGCCATAAGTTGCGGGTGGGGTGGTTCTATCCAGTGTTGTCGCTTCTTCTGGAGTACTTGCGTCGACTCCGGTCATTTGTTGACACGCCATCTTTTTTCTTAGGACTTTACTTGCAGGCGTACCAAGCGTGTCCCTCGATTGGCAACTGTGATGTTCTCTTAATCCTCATTCGTGCGAATCTACTAGGATGCCCTGCATACCGAGCTTTCACTCTCTTGTCTTAATGACACTGAGTGTCGTAGAACTCGGTCCTTCATGGACAAACGGTTTATTCAGCAAAGCGAGTTCAGCAAAAATGACAGCCTGACAAGCATGTGGGAACCTCTATATAAATAACGAAGTCATTTCTATAACTAACGACGCTGCTGCACTCATGAGCTTCTTCATTTGAATCAGTTAAACAAACTCGCTCCAGCGAACCAATAAGCGCGTTGACGAAATATGTGTAGCTGTCCAATCAACTGCACTGTTCGCATGCGGCACGCTTACCACTTGCTTGCACAATCCTAACACGTTGAGATTCAATGTTGAGGGAATCCGGGCTGCCATGCATCATGCAGGAGCCTCCGCTTGCGGCACTATCAATTGTCACCGCACCAGTCACTGGATACCCGAGAGGTCGGTGAACCTGTTGGAATGCAGGAGAAACTTCCCGGCTGGCTCTGAGCACATTCTGACCAGACGGACTAGTAGGCGCGAACTAAAGCGGAGCCTACATGCTGACAAAGAAGCCTGGTTTACCAGTAGGGTTCAAGAAATGGAGGAAGCTGGAACCGTAAGCAGTTATCACAATTCCTTACAACTGATCCGCTTCACTGATAACCGGAAAACGAGGCGCCAGCGGGACACTCAGAGGCGGCTCGAGTGCCCTGATTCACAGTATGGAGAGCCGTATGGCTCGTTTTGTCTGTGCACTTTCGAGATCAATTCAGTTATCCCCATGCTTTCGGATCTCTTCCTACTGAAGTTTTGTACGCTGAACCTTGGTCAGTTACTTTATGGGCCCCGTTGGAGGCTGAGGTTCGTAACGCAATCACCAGTCTTAAGCTTGTTCGTGCTTCTGACCCGGATTCCCTCCTTCCTGCAATATTTAAGGATGGAGGTGAAGTCCTATGCAAAGCACTGACGTCCCTGTTCGTACACGTCTGGAAGGAAGGCCATCTCAGCTACCTGGAGTGAATCGTTTATTTGGGCGATATACAAAAGGTTAGCCTTACCAACTGCTAACATAGGGTGTCCAAAATTTTCGCAAGTAGGGCCACATTTTGTGAGGTAAAAATATGTCGAGCCATATTCTGTCTGAGCTTTAGATAATAACAAAATTTACCTGTGTTATAAATTTTATCTTGCAACTTTTTAGTGTGAAGGATGAAACTGAGATCTTGGGATCCTTATATTTTGATTTAGTTCCGATCCCTTTAGTAAAAAAACTAGATTTATTTTCCCTAGTTAGTTAAAAATAAACAATACTACATCATAGATTTTTGCCAGCATCTAACGCCATTGTAGTTTGTACTCACAACCTCTTTGATGTTTGTACTCGTTATAATGTCGGAAAATATCGAAGCTTAAGTTTGTTATTTTATGACGAGGCCGCGGGCCAATTGAAACCTTAACTCGGGCCGCGTTTGGCCCGCGGGCTGGACTTTGGACATCTCTGCCTGAATTCTCGTTCGTTGCCTCACTGCGTGTTACAGGAAGATAGCTTACACTCAGCGTAATAGCCGAGAACCGTGGCATAACATTCGATTGATCTACAATCAGAGATCGAACTCGTGCAGAGATCAAAAGGTGAATCTATGTGAAACCAGAATCGGAATCTCTCGGTTCGGCTGGTCTTGGTGTTCTCATTTCGTTGCGAGATTAAACTGGTTGGTGGCGGCACAGCAGGTTTCAGGCAGGTTATCCGGACTGTCAGCGGAAACCACAACACTGCGAAACGGGAATCCCGGATTAGGGAGGAGCAGGCAAGCTTTCACCCAGGACGGGGCTGTGTAAACCACATATTCACTTTGCAGCAGATGCTAGGGCAGAACCACACGTACCGCAGACCGACAGTAGCTGTGTTCTACGACTTCCAGTGCGTTCGACCCAGTTGATCGATGAGTTCTGTTTGGAATACTTATACGGAAAGGTATTGTCATGTAATACGTGAACAATTTACTTGCTCTATATTCGAACAACACAAACCAAATCAGGGTCTACGGCGTCTTGTCATATATCTTTCCGACAACAATTGGCGTTCGTCAGGGTTGTTCCATTTCCTCATTTTTGTTCCCTTTTAGCGTGGACTCTATCATTGAGTGTTCCTTTGCGGATCCTCACGATGAAGGCGTTGAGGTGCTGTCTGGTGAAGGGTTAGTTGATCTTGATTATACGGACGATATCGTCTTGCTGTTTAACGATGTCGGGACGGCGCAATCAACCCACAATAGCCTCCTATCATTTGGTATGCGCATCGCACCTTCAAAGTGCTAAGGGTTGCTGAAGGACCATAAACCTCTTGAAAATCCGTTAATCCTTGATAACGCGGAACTCGAGGTAGTTGATCAATTCACTTGCTTTGACAGTTGTATCAACAACGTTGGGGGGCATAGAAACTGAGGTCAGTTCACACATCGCAAAAGCCAGAACTGTCTTTTTGGATCTGCGATGTCTTTGGCGACAGAAAGGAGCTTTTTTCCGTCTGAAAGGCCGTGTTTGCAACGCCACAGTGAGGAACGTCCTACTCCGTGATAGCGAAATTTGGCACCTTCGATTTGAGGATCTGAGGTGCCTTCAAGTCTTTGATCATCGCCTTCTGCAAAACACTCCTGGTGTCGGGTGGCACCAGCGTGTCCGCAACGATAATGTGCGTAGGCCAGTACTAGATAGTGATAATCATGCTAACTCCCTAGAACAATGGATAGCACTGCGTTGACTCGGGCACGTGCTACGTATGCCTGGTCACCGCTTACCTAGGAGGGCCTTATTTAGTCTTTCAGGTGTTGGGTGGCGCAAGGCTCGAGGTGGAGAGAAGTTGACTTGGCAGCGGGAAATGAAGTCACTGACGACCAAACTGGGTGCTGCTGGTCATTCTCGCCTTCCAGGTTGGAGTGTACATGACCCGCCTTGTGCTTGGCTCGAGACTTTGTAAGATATGGCTCGCAACCGACACTAAAGGCGCCTCTGCTGCCGTCTCCTAATCGGACTGCCTGTTTAAACTGTGTTTGTTGCTGACTTATCTGCCGTGTACTGGCTGCTTATTGACGTGGGGCAGTGAAACGCGCACGGAAGTCGTCTCGCTTATGCCGCCTTTGCACGATAGCCAGTTGTTTGTGACGGTGTGTCGTTGACAAGGTGTAGTCGCCTTGTCCCTGATTGTTTGCTTAGGTCATCAAGGTCTTGCGCTTGGTCCCCCTTCTCTCTCATTATTATTCTCCGTCCCTATGTCACCGTAATTGTACGGCAGCGGAGCATCCTTCCGAATGGCTGAGATATTGCTGTTGAAAGAAAGCCCCTCTCTGAGTTTCCAACACGGAGAATATGAAGTTTATTTCTGGAACTCGTTCTTCATGCCTACTTTCTTTTTTTTGCTTTTGGTAGGCTCATATCATCGTTGAAATTAATGATTGATCTCCATACGTTTAACCACTTTAAGCTAATAAGCACATCAATAGTCTTTTGCACTTCTTTTTCTCAGACTTTTATCCGATGGATTTGGGATCAGTCATCGCTGTTTTGGCTTTAAATCTGTCTCCGCAGGACACATTGCTTGATCTTTGTGCCGCACCTGGGGGCAAAGCAGTGGCGGCTTTGCAGACATTGCAACTTCGTGAGTTCTTCATTCTTATTTTTGTGGGCTTATGCAGCGTGCTTTTTCATCAGAGACTAACGTTCATTTTCATCATACAAGTCAAGTAGAGGTTAGAACTGCTTCAGCTATTATGCCGCAATGCAATACATTTACATAGTCTTGAGGAAACGCAGCAAAGTAAAAACACGTTGTGTTAAACCTTGTTTTTATCATGAATTAGTAGTGAGATCGTGATGGGGGGGATAGAATGGGAGGGGCAAAAATACTCACAACACGAACACTTTGTTAACACTTACTTGCAAGCAAACGTACTTATCGTCTTTCGGGCAATTGCTCGGGAGTCTGGAGGCGCCAACCTAGGTCACGTTCGAAATGAGTTTTTTCATTCCTATTTGCCAAGTTATCATTTGGCTATCCTTCCTCTTCTTCCATCACGGGAGTCTGGATTCAACTCTTCGCCGAGCTTCGCAATTAGTAACCAAACATTTCATCACCATACGGAATTCTGTGCTGGAATGCGCAACACGTGACCCAACCATCGGAGCGTTGTGCATGAAATTCATGGCTCGCGGTATTTAGGATGCAATCACTCTCCTCAGAGGTACCGGGGCTGATCCTCTTGGGAGGGGTGGGGGAGGTTCCCATTGTAAGATCTCGTGTGTCCTATTGTATTTCAAAACTCCGTTGTAGTTCTTTAACGGCAGTTGGTGACGAGACACTTTATCTAATACTTCATCGCTTATGGCCCGGAATCCGTACCAGATAACTTTGTGAACATTTTTCTTAATCGAATGACCAAAGGTTCACAAATTGCTTCAGGTGAATTTTTCGTGCTACTCACGCGCATCTCCTTGTTGATGATGGTGTTCTTGCCGTATTTTTTCTTGTTGTGGTTGATGAAACTTCTTCGCTTGATTGCCTTTCGAAATGACAGGATCACCTCATAAGTTACTGTCACGTCTGATGTTTGAATCTCCGAGCAAGTGACTACTTGCACTTTTAAGGTTCGAATGATTTTTCGAGCTCTCAATCCTTTGCAAGGGTATCCAGGTGAGATGTACGATGGTGCCGTGTGTTTAGTTCTCGTATCGAAGCCATTTCGAAACAGCTCACGTTATACTACCGATGCCAGTTGAGTACTGCTCGTAGTCAATGAAAGGACTGATTGTAGGCGCCATTTGGTGACAACCGTTCTGGTGCTACCTGAAAGTGTCAGCTAAGCTTGAACCACATATATTGGCTAAGGCCTGTTTATCAATCATCTGTTGCTAGGGTGCATCTGAGTTGTAGTGTTTGCCAATTTAAAAGCTGTTTGGATGATCGGTCAAGATGATGCCGCTGAAATTGTCACCTCAAGATTGCGCTTATATGTATCCATGACGGGTGAATGTGACACCGTATGCGGAAGCTGACGTTTAAGGCTGAGCTGGGTTAAGATTCGTTGTATTTTTCGATTCTGCATCGCCCGATTTAGTCCTATCGGTGGTATAGCTTGGCCGCCTTGCTATTTGCGCTGTTGCATCCGCTCGCATACTCCCCTCATCTGACGGTTTTGTTAGTTTTTATCTACTTCTATTGGGCCTACCTTCTTCACGCGCATGAGTCAATGAACTGACCATGTGCTAGACCCGCTGCCTTTCGGGTCTTCCTTTAATCGAAGGTTTTGGCTGAGGACGCGAGTCGTTCTCCTGTCAGCAGTGGGCGCCCTGCCAGTATCCTAGTCCATCCTCTTCGGATGTTAGGAAGTGGTCGATGGCCCAATTCCCATAAAACCTAGCCATGGGAGGCAACAGGTCTACGGGTTATAAGCTCACAGCTCAATTGGCGGAGAGCACGAGTGCCACGCATTGTCTCTGACGGTGGGAGGGCACCTCCGGGTATTCAATGGTTTGCTACTGCCCGCCTCAAGCTAGGCAGACCCTGGTCAAATTGGTGCAAACTCACCAACACCCATCTGCCTCTGGCCGTGGTCGCAGGTGTATTCTATTACGGTCGCAAAACATATATAAATCGTCCCAGTACCTCCAAGATTGCGTGTGACGGCCGTCAAGCAGATCCCAATCTGTCTCTGCAACCACATTCCCGATCTGGATCTACTCCCCACTGCCTTGTGGGTCAGGCTATTGAGCCAAAGGCTCCGGGCAAGGTCTCTCAAGCAAACCTCCGAAGCACATCCGCCACCTCGCGTGCGCTTGCCCACCAATGTAATCGTATGCCTGCGCGAAAAACACTCAGCGTCGGGTGCTGGAACGTGCGCACACTACTGGACCAGAACTCCAGCGACCGCCCGGAGCGACGCACTGCACTGGTCGCGATGGAGCTGGCGTGCTACAACATCGATATTGCGGCGCTCAGTGAAACCCGGCTCGCTGAGCAAGGTAAGTTGCATGAAACAGGTGATAGCTACATATTTTACTGGGTGGGCTACGCCGCCTCAGCACCACGTGATCATGGGGTCGGATTTGCAATATCCGACCGCCTGAATGGCCAGCTGGTGGGTGAAGCAACAGGCATCAGCGCGCGACTGATGACTGTTCGCCTACGACTCGGGAGAGGTAAGTTTGCTACTTTCATAAGCACGTACGGTCCGAGCATGTGTTATCCTTATGACACGCGTGATCAATTCTACACTCAGCTATCCTCCGTGATACGGTCTGTGCCGAGGAGCGACCGACTATTTCTGCTGGGTGATTTCAACGTGCTCGTTGGGCGTGATGCATCAGTGTGGACAGATGTTATCGGTCTGCATGGCATTGGTTCAGCGAATGCGAACGGTGACAGGCTGCTCTCACTGTGTGCCACTCACGGCTTGACGATCACGAACACTCGGTTTGTACTAAGTGCGAGTGATATAGCAACTTGGATGCACCCATGATGTGGTCATGCTCTCCCGCTCGACTATGTCATCGTACGTCAGCGTTAAGTGTGTGAAGTGTCACGGGTGCTGCGTGGAGCTGAGTGTGGCACTGCTCACAAATTGGTGCACACCAAACTTTACATATATTTTCGTAAATCTATGTATTGCACTCCCGCCGTGAATGGGCGTAAATTTGCCATTCCCTCGGTACCGTGGCGAAACGTACTGAGCTGGAGAAGGCGATGGCTGCACGCCTGTGTGATGTGGACTGCATAGCCACAGTGGGTGACCTGTGGCACCACATTCGCGACCAGGTGACAGCTGCTGCCGAGGAGACCATAA